CCTGCAAGAGCTGAGAAATCTCAGGGATGATGGGAGCTGAGCTGATTGGACACTGCTGCTAAGACTAGGCAGGCCTCTTTGCAAGCTAATGTCACCGCATGGGGTCCATTTGCTCTGTGTAGCTTATTCTACAGTGCAGGGAAAGTACCTTGATTAATATGCTACGTGAAAATAAAATGGATTGGGGGGGAAATCATACCACGCGGTTATAAATATTAATTCACCTTTGTATGGGATCGCACATAATTTTCAATATATTTTTGAGGCACCTTCAGTAAGAGAGCAGACTTGATCTCCAAAGAGAGTGGCATAATTTTTTAAGGCCCAGTTAATACATTATTAAATATCATTTGTTTATTAATCTACTCTACATGCATATAATTCAAGGCACTAGGTGCATTGTGTGACAAAGAACAGTATTTTTTTTTTTACCCTGTGGGGAATTTATGTTTTATACCTAGCAGAGTTCAACTTAATCATATTATATAGAGGTAGTAGCCCCTGGTAGAAGTACCTGCTAACTTCTAGTGCGGTTACTGCTCTCCCCGAATCTCTCCATGGCACCTGGTGATTAGGGTAAGCAATAACAGCAACCACAACCCAAGCCCCTCCCTGCCATAGAGTTCCTTCAGACGCAAGGTGACCCTGAAGGACAGGCTAGAGCTGCCTCTGCCGGTGTCCCAGATGGTAGTACTCTATAGAAGTACAAAGCCGCATCTCTATGGTGAGGAGCTGCTGGTGGACTCCCAACTGCAGACCTTGTGTTTAACAACCCCCACACCCCAATACTTCACCCACTACACCACCAGGGCTCCTTTACTTGGGTTAGTGAGAGTGGTTTTTTTTCTTCAAGTTTCATGTTTTTAAGTTTAATTAATCATATTATTGTGAGCTTCTACAGATATTATAACATTCCGTGATTTAATTAGATCAAACATGATTGTACAATTGCAACCACGGTTTCCAAATATTTTCTTTCTTTTTCAACTCTTTGATATCAGCTCCCCATTATACCCTCCCTCTCCCACCATATTCCCCCAAGAACCCTTATTATTCTTATTCGTATTATCATTTTGATTTGTTTTGGCCATATCTTACCCCATCCAATATATCCATTCACCTACAATTTTGTCACTCGCTCCCCTCCAGTGGGTTAAACTGTCGTCCTTGCTATCAAGCCCCCCCACCCCCTGTCCCCACCCTCTCTTCCCATATCCTCAGGGAATCATTACTCCTATTACTGTTTCTGAAAGGGTTATCTATCTTGGCTTTCATGCATGGAATGATCTTAATTATGCAAATGAACATATGGAAGTCTATCAAGATTAAGGAGGTAAAACAAATACCATAATAGTAAAGGAAGGAAATACTAAAGAACTAGAGGATAGTTTTGTGTTTCATCAGTGCTGTGCTGCACCCTGGACGGCCCTTCTGTGAGGGACGCCCAGTTATCTTAGAGGTGGGTTTTGGGTCTCCACTTTGTCCATGCTCCTTCTCATCAATTTGATTGCTTGTTTTTGAATTTCTGGTATCTTTTCCCTTCGACACCTCATGATCACACAGGCTAGTGTGCTTCTTCCATGTGGGCTTTGTTGCTTCCCTGCTAGATGGCCACTTCTTTAATTTTAAGCCTTTAAGAATCCAGATGCTATATCTTTTAATAGCCGGGCACCATCAGCTTTCTTCACCACATTGTCATATGCACCATTTTGTCTTCAGTGATCATGTTGGGAAGGTATCATATAGTGCCACATTATTAGAATAAACTGTTCTTGTGCTAAGGTAAAATTTAAGTAGAGTCCCAAAGCCCATCTGCTTCCTTATAGTATTTACATATATAGATCCACCTCTTTATATATTTGCCTATCTATATTTATACCTATTTACATAATTCTTACTTTCTTCTTCTTCCTCTGTCCACCATTATATTTACCCATTGCTTGCCTCTCAGTAATTCCTCTCAGATGCATTTCAATCGATCCAACACAGCCAGGAACGCTACACTCTCTCACCATCAGTTTTAGTGCCCTTACTCTTCCACTGTCTCCGTCCTTATCTGCTCACCACCACCCCCCCTCCCCTCCTTTGCCCCCCAGGACCGAAGGTTCCATCACTGTCTCCTGGGGCTTGCTTATCCTGCCTGTCTTACGTGGCTTGACACAAAAGGAAAAAAGAGACCATACAAATAGCTCCAGGTCTCACCGTTATCCTGACCCATGTAGATGCGTATCTCTCCATTCAGCAGCGGGAAGGACACGTTATGAACCGTCAGCCCATCCCCACTTCTCTTGGGGTTCCACGTCCTGGGACCCGCGTACCCAACAGCACTTACACCCTTTGGTCCTCAGCCTCCTGCAAGCCCCGTTGCTCTTCCTGCAGCCAGGGATAGAGCGGTTTAGTGCCTCCCACTGCCCCCCTCCCTTTACACCTTCAGGCTTTCAGTGTGGCCCCTTGTGAGTGACCCCCAACCAGTTCAGATGCAGTGCCAAGCACTGCCCCCTGAGTCAGATGTCTGCTATTGGAATTCCTTGGGGGCTTCCTGTCTTTGCTCCCATGGCTGGTCTGTCTCACTCCCTTCTTGGTTTGCCCCCATGTGGGCGGGTCGGACCGGCCGGTCTCCCTGAGCTGTGTCTTCAGGGCTGTCCTCTGTAGTGCTGTCATCCAGGGAGGGGACCTCATGTCCCCAGCTGAGGCCCTGTGGTCCTCTCTGTGAAGGAGCTGCTCTGAGAGGGCCAGCAGGGGCACCGCCCGCTAGGACTGACGCATGGAGTGAAGGCTCCTCTTGCTCTCCCTTTCCTGTGCAGACGGAAACACCTTTCCCTTGGGTGGATTAGCGCTCTGGTCCCCCATTGCCATCTGTTCCACCCCCACCCCGAGCGGGGAAAAGATGTCTTTCAGCACAGGTGCTATGTGCATCTTTTTAAAAACTTTATACAGTGGGGGACGGGAGACAGTGGTCAGTGTAAGATATAGACATAAAAATGATAATTCACAATTTATCAAGGGGTCATGAGGGGGGAGAGGGGGGAGGGGAAAAAAGAGGAGCTGATACCAAGGGTTCAATAGAAAGTAAATGTTTAGAAAACGATGATGGCAGCAAAAATGCAAATATGCCTGATACAGTTGATGTATGGATTGTTATAAGAGCCATAAGAGCCCCCCCCAAAATGATCTTTGAATGACAAAATAAACACAAGACATTAAAGTTTATTTTTAAAACCTTAAAACAACCTTTAATGGAAGGCGTATGCATCCTTGGGTTGGTTGAGCTCTTGCCCAGAGGAGCTGATCCTCAGCCCAGGACGACCACAGATTGTCCGTAGCTGAACCAGATGTCTGACTGCAGGGCCCTGGGAGTGGACATGGGACAGTGCTACTGACTGAATATTCACCATGGGGTCGGCCTGCTGTGCGAAGGAATGAGACTGTGCCACCCAGTGCCCTGCCCGTGCACTTGAACCTTTGTTCAGCCTGAGCTTTTGTTCCTCAAGCACCCAGTGCCATCAAGTTGATTCTGACTCCCAGGGACCGAGAAGACACGGTGGAAGCTGCCTTGTGGGTTTCCATCATGGTAACGCTTCACAGGAGTAGAACGCCTCTTTCTTTTCTGGAGTGGCTGGTGGTGGGTTCGAACTGCTGACCGTGCGGTTATCTGTCCAGCTTGAAACCAAGAACCCCTTCAGGGCTCCTCTGGAGTTAACACCAGGCACACCCATTATTATTTGTCAAATGGGTGAATGCTTGGGAGCAGAAGCTGCTTTCTTAGAAGAAATGTCTCGCCCAGTGGGCAGCCCGAGTCAGAGGGCTGGGTGCCCCCTGAATCAAGAAACGGAAGGTGGGGAAAGAGGCCTGTGGGGCAACGCTTAAGAAAGGCCGATGCTCCTCAGCCGACAGCTGGGGCAAGCGGAGGGTGCTCGGATACCGGGACTAGGAAGAACAGACACCTGTCTGGAGACGCAGTCGAGGGGGCGTTTGTGAGGTGGGAAAAAATGAGTCAAAGGAAACGTTCACTTGGGATGACTTGGATTTTTTAGATGTGCATGTAGGACTGAGGGTGGCGGGCTCTGTGCTCGTGTGAGGTCCCACGAGGGAAGCTGAGAGTGTGAGGTGCCCAGACGCCAGGATTTCCGATTTAAGGGCTTCGTGAGTTCTGCCGCTCTCTGGGTTCAGCGGGGGCTTCTGGGCGTCGTGACGTTGGCTGGTCTCCACGGCTCCAGCACTGCCATGTGTGCAGAGGCCTCCAGATGAGTGGCATGCTGAGTCTTGCCAGGAGGGCAGTGCACGGGCGTGAGCCCTGGGTGGTGTAGCATCTCCATGTGTGGTGTCGTAAAACCCCCAGTCACCTGGCTGCGTGGCTTCCCAAGATTCCCCAGTTTCTACAGCTGCTGGACCCCATGCCTCCCAATCTGCGAAGGCCCCTCAGTGGCGGTAGTGTCAGGAGATGGATTGCTAGCCACAGGTCAGCAGTTCGACATCACCAGCAGCTCCTAGGAAGAGGAGGCTTTCCACTCCCTTGAAGAGTCCATGGAGGAAACCCCCAGAGGCAGTGGTCCTGGGTCCTGCAGTGGTGCTACCAGTCGGCACAGACTCGATGGCAGCGAGTCTGGTTTGGGTTGTCAGCAGCCTGGCCCGGGATTGGTTGCACATCGGGCTGCCAGACCACAAGTTGGGCTTCTTGGCGCCCACCGATCTGAGGAGAATCACAAGGCGGCCTGCTCCCGTGTGCATCTATTGATAGGCCTGTGTAGGCTCGCTAAGTCAGTGGGAGCCAAGTGCAAGGCCGTGGGGGAACCTCACCTTGCTCACGCATTAGGCCTGGCCCTGGTTGCCTGTGTAACCGCCTCTTTCCTACCTTTGGTTTCTGCAGAAAGATGTGGCCCTTAAACCTCAGGAACGCGTGGAGAAGCGCCAGCCCCCCCTGACCAAGAAGAAGCGAGAAGCACTCACCAACGGCCTGTCCTTTCATTCCAAGAAGAGCCGCCTCAGCCACCTGCATCACCACAGCTCGGACCGAGAGAACGACCGCAACCTGGGCCAGCAGCTGGGGAAGAGGAAGAAAACGCCCAAGGGGCTCCGACAGGTGAGGGTGCGCGGCCGCTGGCTGGGCCGGGACGCCGGGCTGCAAAGCCCCTCGCTCTGCTCCCAGGTGCTCGCTGCCTGGCTGGGAGACCACAAGGCTAAGTCACGGTGGTTCGCTTTTGTGGGTGTGTGTGAATGACTGGTGTTCTGTGGAACGTACGACGTGGATGGGGAGGCCACTGGCCGCTAGTGCAGAGCCAAGCTTGTGTGGCAGTCCCCGTGGTCTGGCTCGCAGGGTGCAGACTGCAGACGGGTCAGGCGTTTGGATGTGTCTCTCTCAGACACACACACATGCACATGCTCTCTCACACGTTCTCATACTCTTACACACTCACTCACACTGACACTTTCTCCTCTCTCTGACACTCACTCACTCTCCCAAAACTTCTCTCTCATACTCTTTCACTCACTCTTTAATAACCTCCCTCCCTCTGCCTGTATCTTAAGCTTCCCAGATACTAAAGATGGCCGGCCCTCTCCTGCCAACAGTTCTTGCCCCAAGATTTTCTATTTCCCCAGGAAAAGCCATGCTGCTGCGACAGGCAGATGACCAAGCCTCTTGATGCCCCCATTGCCCTCCACCTCTGTGCTCTGCTAATGGTCAGAACCCCAGGGGTGGGGCTGGCTGGCCTGTCCACCCTCGGGAGGGCGAGAGCCTCAGGAGCAGATGGCTCCTGTGCCTGGCAATCCCCCCACGAGATGGAGTCACAGAGAGAAGTGAGACTGGACGGCAGTTTGCCCCCTGCCCCACCCCTCCTCCACATGGGGTGCTCGTGCCTGTGCCTTGGGTCGATTTGGTTTGGTGGTGGGCGGGACCCTTGGACTGGACTTGACTCTCAACTGGAAGGAAGTGGAGAAGAGGGGGAGGGGAGGGGGTTGGGTTCACAGAGCAGGTGCTGCTCATTAGAAATAGAACAGGTTCGCAGCTGCCTCTCCGAGGAGGGAAATGACCTGGCATCGTACAAAACAGTGGCTCCAAACCTTGAAGGTCGTGAGTGTCGTATCATGAGCCTTTATTAAAAATAATAATAATTTTAAAGCCGGTTTCCAGCGCCAAGCCTCATAAACTACCATCCTGGGATGGTCAGGCCTCAGCAGTTGTCGGTTTGGGCCGTGTCCTATTGGGCTGTGGTCAGTCTGGTCAGTGAAGCCCTCTCACGAAGCAACAGGGGTGTCGTTAGGTGACGATTTAGGGGTAAAAGATGGGAAGGAGCCATCAGTTCTAGTGGGAGCTTTGGTTTGAGAGTGGCCATTGACAGGAAATGGGGGGCACAGCCCTTTGGGAAGCATCTGCAGCGATGAACTCAGCAGGGACCAGAAGGCCCCTGGGGCCGCATCTTTCTTTGTGACCAACAGGGCAGTGTTTCCAAAGGTACCAGATGGGCGTTAGGGCAGGATTTCTGACTCTGCGCCCGGTGCACAGCATGCTGCAGGCATTCAGTGAAGGGCTTTGTAAGCTGTAATGCTCACAACTCTGGCTGGTAGGAGATACCCCGGTTATTTTCAGGTGTGGAAAATAGGACTCGCGGACACTGGGACTTGCCCGAGACCAGTCATAGGAAAGGACAGTCAGAACTGAGACCTTGGCCTCAGCTTGCCGAGACCCTGCTCCGCTTTCCTGGAGTTCTCGGCCTCCCTTGTTCGAGGTGGCATCTGTGTATGAAGAGAAAGAGAGCTCCAGTTCAGTCAACACGCGTTTCCAGAAAGGGCACGGATCCCTTGGTCAGAGAAGTGACTTAGGAAAGCGCCACAAGACACAGGTGAACTCCAAAGTGCTAGAACAAAGGAGGAGGTAGAAAATGGGGAACAGTCACATCTGGATAAAGGTATTTGGGGGGGGTGTTTGTGGGTGCTAAGACTTGGTTCTACAACAGGTGATGGGATTCATGACACCTAACTCCTGCTTTTCTTCCCGTGAGGGATGTGAGAAAAGTCCTTGTCCCCTGTTACCTGCTGTAGTCAGGTCTTCACCTAGGTCACCTTCACAGCGGGCTTCTCACCCCCTTCAGGCAATAAACCAGATTTAAAAAGGAGCTGGCACTAAGCTTCCAGTTCCTGTCCTTGAATCTGCCTTAGTCCTAGACTTGAACTGCATTTTCCTTCCTATTTCTTCCTGGTAGAAAGCGAACGATTTTGGTGTCCCCCACCCAACGGGTTTCAGGATGGCGAAGAAAACCAGCCCTTGAGTGTATCCTTATAGAATCGTGGTTGGTCCTCCTGGGAAACCTTCCAGTGCTAATGGCACGTGAAGTCAAAGCCACCCCTGTTATGGGAAGGAATCCTTCGAAAGGCCAGTGGTTCTGACTCGCTTTTGACCCGCCCTTTGAGAATCCCAGAGAAAGGAAGAAGGCTGCTTCCCGATTCTGGTGTGGATGGTGACAGAATGCTCTGCTCTATGGATCAAACTTTCTGTTTCCAGGAGGAAGAGAAACAGAAGGTGGTATTTGAAATAAAGCCACCACTGTCCTCAAATCCCTAGTATTCTTGGAAGGACATGGGCTATGCCCAGACCAACCACAGTCTCAGCCTGGTCCTGCCCATCTGCAAAGTGAAGGATTGGCCTGACTGCCCAGCCCCTCCTCCCCCGCTAGTTACACAATTCTCTACATGTATGAGTGACATGAGAGAGTCTGGCAAAGGAAGAGCTTCCTGGGTCTGGCGGTAATTGTTTCTGTCACTGGTGTCATGTGAAAATGTGTTACTGTGTATGATTGGGTGAATGGCAACAGAGTGGTCTGTATTCCATTCCACAGTTCACACAGGTTTTGTGTCATGCCATTCATTCGTGGCCATCCCCACAATGATCCACCATGCAGCCTACCTCCTCCCAGAGTTTTCCATTGGTTCTCCTCCTCCATCCCTAACCCTTGGGAATTCTTTCCCTGCTAGCTGTTGTTAGGTGCTCTCCAACTTGCTGAAAACCCTCACAGCTGTGAGTCAGTGCTGACTCCTAGTGATGCCATGGGCTTCCAGGACTGTAGCTGTGGTCCAACCCCGGAGGAGCTGTTGGTTTCCAGTGCTTAACCATTGGGCTAGGTCCTAGGGCTCCCCTTTTGCTCTTTACCTTAGTTAATCATTTTGTGACGTGAGCCCTTGTGGTGTTGTGGTTTCATTCTTGTGTGTGTGTGACTGGTTGTAAGGTGACACACTCATGTTTCACGATCACAGAAGATTTCAGAAATTCGCTTTAAGAATTTGGAAAACAACTTTCCTAGGAATCCAACTGTCTGCATGAGTCACTTTCTCTCCTTTTTATAAGATAAAGTTGCCGAATCTGCCTTTGCTGGGAGGTGGGGGGTGGGGAAGTGCATTGAGAGTGGGCTTTGGGGAGTGACTCTAAATTAATAGGTTGTTGTCTAGGCCTCTTACCGATGGGACTAGCAGCGAAAGAGGCCTGGAGGAGGTGCGGGTGTATGGTCTTTATCTCTGACTTGGCTCGAGTGGATTAGGCCTGCATCTTATTAGGGAATGGTACTTCCTGAGCAAGCTACTTAATGCACAGCCTTCCTGTAATTATGGGAAGATGTGACTCCTGAGTGGAGAGGAAATAATAGGATTTTTTTTCTTTTTTATCCCCGAGAATCCGTTGAGGACTAATCTTTTTACTGTGAGAGTGCAATTATATACTTTTATAGGAGCGGCAAGTCGTTCTACCACCAAACCGTTTCCCCTTCACTTGACTGATGGTAAAACCCCGATTCCTGTGATGTTGTTCCATGCCATCAAACAAAAGCCTTTCAGCTGGCACTTAACCACCCCGATGGAACTTATTTGTGGGATTATGTTTCGAAGTGTAAATACAGGCTGGCTTGGAACACGCTGAGCCGGCAAGTGTCTTGGAAAATGAGCGCATTTAAAAAATATATATGGTACATTTGAATATTCTCTTTAATTCCCAAAGGGGGTGGGGGTAAACTTAGCAGGATTCTTTTTTTTAAGTTAAAGAAAGGAGCCAGAGATCTGCTGTATGAATAAAGGATGTCTCTCTGACCTCTCTAAGCTTGAGGAGCCCTGGTGGCAGAGTGGTTAAGTGTTGGACTGTGATCTGCAGGCTCAGCAGTTCGAAACCACCGGCAGTTCCGCTGGAGAAAGACGGGCTTACAACCTGGGAACCCACAGGGGTAGTTCTACCCAGTCCTATAGGGTCACCATTTGTCGGCATTGACTCATTGGCAGTGAATTTCGTTTGGGTTTCTCTAAGCTTAAATTTGACCTCTATGGAGTGATGTCCTCATACACTTAAACGAAGCCCAAACCCACTGTTGTCTGCTTGATCCCAAACACCCTGACCCCGTAGAACAGGAGACAGCTGCCCTCTTTCCAGGAGCAGACTGGTGAGTCCAAACTGCAGACCATTTGATTCGCAGCCCAGTGCTCCACTCGGTGTGACACCTGGCCTCCTTGTTCTTACCCTTAGACTTGAGTCAAAACCAGTTGACGTTCCTAATTGTAAGGATATGGCGGGGATCCTTTTCCCCTCCCTCTGCTAAAATTTAGAAGTGGACGAGCTGAAAGAGAGCTTACCCATTTCTTCTTCTGAAGGAGATTTGTTCTCTTCTGCGGAGACTGAGCCACAAGGAAACCATCAGAGAATACAATGGAGTCACATGTTGCCAAGCCTTAGACCTGAGTGATGACTTCCTCAGAAGCATTTGGGGAAATGTAGCCCTCCTCTCAGGCCTTGACATTTGTTTTCCTTCTGTATGACTAACTGCAGTATCGTGGAGAACGGTGCAAAACTGTTTTAGTACTTTGTTGTTTGGGGGGGTGAAATCAGGGTTTTAAAAACAGACATTGCAGGAGGAGACACTGCTGGAGTTAGGGAATGCTCAGCTTTTGGCTGGGACCAGGATTTCCACAGACGCAACCACCATGAACAGAGCCCGGTTTTAAGAGGTGAAGCACTGGGACCGTTTCTCCCCCTTCAGAGGAGTCAGTGCTTGGTGTTCGGTCCTTACATCGTACTTTGGCTGTGCTCTCAGGAGACTAGTCTCTGCAGAA